TATATATATATATATATATATATATTTGAAAAAGTCTTTTTTGGTATCAGTTCCACATCTTGGTGATTCTTGTGCTATTATTTCTAGGCATTGTTTGCAAGGTTACAACAACTAGTAAGCGTGACTCGTGATGTACTGCATCAAAGGGACAAGTTGCAAAAGAATTTGCTTTCAAGACTAACAGAAACTGTGGTCATGTGGCTTTCTGAGGAGCAGGAGTTCTGGGACGTGTTTGAAGATGAGACCATCCAACTCCAGCCATTTGGGCTGCAACAAGTATGTTACATGATTCGTACTTGAAGCGAACATCCTGCTGTGCCTTCTATTCATTTCAATCACGTAATTTTTTGCTTGTTTTAAACTTCTCCAGACGTGCATTTTCTTAAAAATCAAGTATCAGTTAATTCTTCATAGTTTAGGGTGGTAAATATAATGTAATTGTGTTTTACATGACTAAACTGATAGGATCCTATATTCAGATGGTTTGGGTATCTGCATTATACCTTGCATCTGTTCATAGTTCATTAGTACTCGGAGTTAAAATTTTCATAAAAGTCCATTCAATCAAGCTTGAGTTTTCTTTTTTTTTTTGCGGCGTTTACAGACATAGCACCCAATTCTTATGCATTTACATATCTAACACCTAAACTTTAAGTTTTACCTTTATACCACCCAAATCTTTTTATCAAATAAAAAATACCACCATTTTTAACTTTTGAAAAGTGAAACACCCCTTTTCATGCATTTAGGGAATGTGGCATATATATATATAAATTGATGTGTAGGTGTTAAATATGTCAATACATGTATAAATGTAAATCTTCCTTTTTATTTGTCATAAATGTTACATCAATATACGCGCCTTACATTTATTGAGAATTTAGCATTGGCTTTATTAAGCTGTTATATTCATCATGCAATGCATGAGGCTTCTAAGATATATTATGTCTAAAAAGTACTATAATACTCTTGTATGCAGTTTTGACACTTTCTAATCATCTAAATGGCTGAAATTATTAATTTATGACTAGCAAATTTGGAAATATCAAAATTTTACATTTAATTTATTAACCTTCTTTGCCTCCCTCCTTCAGTTAATCCTTGACATGCACTTCATCGCTGAGATCACAGGGTGGGGTGGATACCCATCAAGAAATATACACCAGCTAGTTTCAGCCATTATAACTCGCGCAATCGGAATCTTCTCTGAAAGAGGCATTGATCCTCAGAAGTATGACTAAATTTAACTACAAATCTTTATTTTGGTTTGTCTCGGGAATTTACATACATACCACACAATTCTTATGTATTTACATATCTCACTCCTACGTTTTCATATTTACACACAGCACTCAAATCTTTAATTCATGCATAGATTTAAAACACTGAAGTGATGTGTATGTAAATATGAAAGTTTAGGTATGAGATATGTAAATGCATAAGAATTGTGTACTATATATATAAATTTTCCTTGATATTATGCTGCTAATGTTGCTTATGTTACTGTTTTAATTGCAGCGCCCTTCCGGAGGACGAATGGTTTGCCGATACAGCAAAGGCTGCAATTAACAAGCTTTTGGGACCTTTGGCTTCTGATTCATCGGAAGTAGAGGCTGATGAGCATTTGCTTCTCCAAGACGAGATTTCTGATGCGGAGAAGACGCCTTCGAGCCCGTCGTCGACCACGGAATCGTCGGAGTCTTTTGCTTCCGCAAACATGGGGGAAACTGAGAGCTCAGTTTTCTTGTCTGATCCTGAGACCTGAGTAATGGATAGAGAATTGATTTTGTTCTCTTCTGCAGGTATTTTTCTGTTTTTTTTTTTTTTGGGTCCGAGTTTGCTACAGATTTGAGTTGGAACTTTGTTTGTGATTATAAAAGATGGGTGGAGGTGTTTTGAGAAAATGGAATGTGATTAGAAGTTTCTTTAAATTCTCTAGCAATCACGTATAAGAAGTTTTGTCTGCGGTTACATATTGTTAACCTCTTATTTGCACCTTTCAGTTGAAATTCTAGCAACTCCAATGATATCGGTAGGGAAATCGAGTCTTATTACTGAAATTAAATAAAAAATTATAACTAACATATGTAAATTTTAAATTGCAATAATTGACAACACAAAGACAAGTTAGGGGTAGATTTAGGGATGTTGGTGGTGGTCGGCAAGGGTTTGGAAGGTGGTGCGGGGGTGAAAGAAGCAGTTTGCAAGTAGAAAAGAGCAAAGCAGTTGTTTTCCTGGTGCCGGCAGGAAGCAAACAACAGGGAGCTATGTGGGATGGTTATTCAGGGTGATGGCTGCAAGGATGGATGGCTGAAATGGCTGCGACAACAAAGATGAAGGGTTGGATGGTAGTGGTAGTGAAGGTGGAGGGCTGGAATGACAATGACAGAAAAGTGGAAGGGCTAAACAAGGAAATGAATAGGAAAAATGATAAATACCAAATTGGGAGCGAGGTGTTGTCGGTGTGCCACTTGACCTTTAGAGTAGGATCACCACATCAGAGTGAAATACAGCCAGAGCATTACTCTATAAGGAAAAACTTGAAGACATTGTTGGTTATCCCAACAAAAAAACTCATGAAAAATTGATCCCTAAAACATCTTGAAAGTAAATATAAGATACTAGGATACTTAGGGAGAGCCCCACTCTCCTTGGTGTTAACCTTAGCCCAAAGGAGAGTCGGCTTTTACCCTCCAATTCATGGACAGGGTCGGTCTAGGTGAGTATGTAGCATTTGCCACGCCATTTTGATGCCCAACGTCATTCAGGGTCGTGACTTCGTTTTTCGAGACTCCCATGTCTGGAGCACGAGCGCTTCCGTGTCAGCCAATGTATGAATACTTGTTTCACTTTTTAAAAGTTAAATAGCGCTATTTTTTGTTATGTGAATGATTTGAGTGGTAGAGAAATCAAATGCAAATTTCAAGTATTAGATATGTAAATACATGAGAATTTGAGTAGCGTGTATTTAAATTGCCCTATATTTTTTAGTAGATGACATGGACATTTGACATTATGATATAATTTTTTTCTGCTTATTAGATGCCTTAAGATTTCATTTTCGACAGGCCTATTTATAGGGCACCCTTCTTATTGAACTCTTTCTATTGTATATGTGCATGAGAATATCTTGAATCTTTATACAATTTTTGTTTTGACATGTATGAGCGAAAGATGTAAGTCGATTACATGTATCATAAATGTGATTTCTATACATTCCACATATTTTTTTAAGTATTTATGTATCTTAAAATTTATATTTATTTATATATCTGATTTTTAAATTATGTAATAAATTGCACTCATGAAATTCATGTTGCGCGTTGGTAATTTTAGGGTGGTACAGTGATATATTAAAATTTTAGTGTTGTACAAAGATCTGACACACATTCGAGGTAAAAAGAAATTGGTATAAAAGTTCGGTCGTCGCCACCATCGTACCACCATCATCGCTTCCCAGCCAACACACTGTCATTGTCAGACCGCAGTTGCCCGGTTGCCACCTCCACCAGATCACCATCACTGCCTCCCGACCACCGTTGTAGGACCATAGCTTCCCATCCATCGTTCTCAAGTCACCTCTGCTACATAAGCACCATTGACCGACCCTCGTCACCGCCACTGTCGGCGTCAAAAACTATCCAATCGTCATTGTTGCCACCACTACAGTTGTTGTCGGACCATTGTCGTCAGAATGTCGCCATTTCCCTATCGTGTAATGTTCCCTAGCAAAAGTCATGACATGTGTAATCTTGCTCATGACCAGTTAAGGACTAACATATTCTTATTTAATGCCATTCCCCAAGAGGAAGTCACGTAACTCCCTCCTACCCCCTTCAAGATTGGTCACAACTCCCTCCAACCCTTCGAGATCCGTCGTAAGTCTCTCCAACTCCATTCCAGACCTGCCACAACTCTCCCCAAACCTCCCAGACGATTTCACGATTCCTTCCAACCCCTACAACACTCCTCTCTAAACCTCCACTGTTGTCGCATCACTCCAATCAATCAACACACCCGCCATCCAGTCGGTGTCCTCATTCGTGTGTTATGTGCTGTTTTATTCTTATTTGACGACTCGTCGTCGCAACCTTTGAATTTCAACGATAATATTTATATTTTTATTGTGATTCGGGCTAACTCCGATATCAAATATTTTGAGTGCGTTGAAAAATAAATTAATTTGCTTCTGAAGAAAATAAAAAATAAAATTATGCCAAAAAAAAAAAAAAAAACTAAATAAACACATCATATCTCCTCTTATGCCCTGAAAGTTCTAGATTCAGTACAAATCCAACCTTTCAGCTTATTCTTCTATGTAAATATTCTGCAACATATGTTCAATTGGTAATGATGAGCGTCAAACTCCTGATGCATTTGATATGAACACATGATTTTGGAGAAACGATGGCTCTTTTGACTTTTTTGTTTCCTTATTTTATTGATATCTTTTGATATTAATCATATCATGATCTGATTCCTTGTTATCTTCTCATTTTTAGCAGTGCTGCTGACTTGAATTCTCTCATGGTGAAGCCCAACAACGTTAAAAAACTCTTCAAAATAAATGTCTAATGATAATTGCTAAGTTGGAGTTCTACGTGTTTGATTGTAAAGGAGACTTTTGGAAGTGTGGGCGTTTAATTAAAGCAGCCATCATTGGGCAAAAGATAAAAAATTAATATTTTCTAGGAAGGTTTGCATACATACCATTCAATTTAGCCATCATTGGTTAACATTTTCTAGGAAGGTTTGCATACATACCATTCAATTTCTATGTATTTGCATATCTAACAATTTATATTTAATTTTTTACTTTCATACCAAAATATCTATGCTTAAAAAGTTATGTTTCATTTCTTGGAAATTAGTAATTATGATACTTTTGATATCGTATGAAAGATTTGAGTGTTGTAAATGTAAAAAGTTAATGATATGTGTTTGTGTTGAATCATGATTTGTCTCTAAATTAGGGCTGTCAAAAAAACTCGTTGTTCGTGAACAGTTCGTGTTCGACTTGCTATGAAGTTCGTGTTTGATTTGTTCGATAAATAAATGAGGCGAACACAAACAATTTGTTTTTGTTCGGTTTATAAACGAATCAAACATGAACATTCATGTGTTTGATCATGTTCGAATCGTTATTGTTCAAAATATAATAATGTATAACAAATTTATCATATTTTAAAAATAATTATCTTAAAATATAAAATAATTATGTATAACAAATTTATCATATTTTAAAAATAATTATATACTCAAAAAGTTTATCATATATTTTTTAAAAAAAATAATTATGTACCGAAAAGGCCTACCCACCACTATCAATTATGTCTTTAGTTGACCTAAAGATGATTGATTGGGGTGTGATAGCTCTCATTTATAATGACATTTAGTCCCTTTTTTTAAATATGAAAATATGTTGACTAAGATGATAGCAAGTTGACATTTTAGCATATTTTATAAGAAAAACTGCACACTATCGGGAAGAAGATAATATTGTAAATTATATGTTAGAAACAACATTAGAAAAGCTTCAACATTTATCTTTTGTTGAAGATCTTATTAGGAAGGTTTACTTTTTAATATCTAAAGATAGAGGGAGTTATTTAAAGGGTGAGGAGATTAGAATAGGTGGTGGTGGGCAATAATTACTCCTAGGAATGAGTCAATAGAGGTGGAGGCGAGAGAAATCAATCATAAATGCTTAATATTGGTTATGCAATGGCTATAGAAAAGAGAAGGTTGTTGTTATTCATCCATTTTAAACCTTTTGAGATCAATTCATCTTTGAGGCTAAGAGGTCCTTGTTTAGGAAGAAGGTTTGTAAAGTTTGCCAATGTTTGTTAGTGCGTTGTCAATTCTTATATTAGAGAGGATTAGTTTGAAATAAGCGTAAAACAAGAGAAAGGTGACTTTATGTGAATGACCCATCCATATTAGTTTCAATTTCATTGAGACATGAGTGTTGTCTTAAGAAGTGTCACACTCCATGTTCGGAAGACGGTTAACCCTTGTAATGGAGGGTATGGTGAAATGAATTTAGTATTTTTTGTATTCCTGTAATGCATGTAATAAAATAAAGAGATGATGGAATACAAATTTTATTCTGTAACTAAAGGATCAACAACTGATACAACTAAAATAAATAATAAAATAATTGAAAGAAACTTAAATAATAATTCACAAGACCCAAAAAAGAAAATATAATAGCTAATGCAAAATTGGAAATACCATATAAAAATCTAGAACTTTAAGATATACTCTTATGAGTACGGTTTGATAAGTGGTTGAATAGAACCTGCTATACAAAAATTTCAATGGGTGAGCATGACAAATCAAACACAATAAATAAATACTATTAATTAAAGCATAAACAACAATGAATTGAGGTATATAATATTAGTAATACAGATGGACAATCATTATATGCAAATATAACATCATAAGTCATCAATAATGTGATAAACAAAATATGCTCAATTATCTTAAGAAAACAAGCGAGCATTTCAAATCCTATCAACTCTTACCAATATACAACTTAAGGAAACTCAATGTTTTCTTGTAGAGTCATCACTATATGAAACTATCGGCCCGTCTAGCTAATATCTAAAATGGTTCCATCGACTTACATACTATCACATACAAACATACAAAATTTCAAATTTATCAGTGAATATCATATACTGATATGACAAATAATCTTAATATTTCAAACATGCATATAATATGAGAATTTTTAGCTAGAATAATGAGCAAATAAGTATTTTAACATTCAAATAAATAATTCAAGACAATAATTACATGATGGGCAATTTAGTGAAGCTTATAACAAGTGCAAAAAAGACATATATGAAGTAAAATAGACATAACTGACAATCCTACAAAGTAACTAGATATATGGTACAAATAACAAGGATTAACGTTTCTAACGAAGAATGATATATTTATCCTATAACTTCACGGTTCAACTAGTGATCCCACATAATTTATAATTTAAAATATAAATACTTATATGATTAAAACCTTGTGATAAATAACTATGTTTTAATTTTATAATTTGACTTATAAATTGTGTTGGATTGCTTCAATTTTATTTCATATCAAGGTCCTAAAATATTTTATTTACGCACCAACTCGTGTGTTCGTGTTCTCAATTGGAAGGAAAAATATTTATGTACGTCATACACATGCAAACGCAAAATTGCGTGGGTATGAAGATTATTTGAAGAGTATTGCAGTGTTATATCGCTCTTATTGATGTTAATATCCTCAATAAACTTACGAAACCCTCAAATTACAAGAAAAAAAGATAAGGGCTGAACCGTGAAATGTATTTGTAGGTTATTGGGAGGTTATTGAGATGTTATTGTGATTAATACTCTGAATAATTGAGTTATTGGAAGATTATTCGAGGTCCTGCCCACGCAGAGCATTTGACGTACGTAAATAGCACTCTATTGGAAGACCTGCACTGAAAGACTTAAGGTGGGAATGTACTGAGCCATGACTCTGATGAACCCTTCCTCTCTTCTCCTCCAACTTCGTCACATTCTTCCAATGGCATTGTCTGAATCTCCAATGCCTACCAGGTGCCCCTTCTACTCGAAAAAATATTACCTCAGGAGTAATGATGCATCAGTACTCCAATGGAGGAGGTGCCACGTATGCAATGGTCCCACCATAATGCCACGTGACACCTCTACATTGAAGTACTGATGCATCAGAACTTCTGAGTTAATATTTTCTTACTTTTCCTCAGCCTGTTATCATACCTGTCATCAGCGATGAAGATGGCGAGATCGGCGTTGGGGCGGAGGAGCAGAGAGAGGCGTAGGTGATGGAAGAAGAAAGTTCGCCTTGTAATTAAAATGTTTTGAGATCCTTGGTATGTAAATAGAGAGGTTTAAAGGTCCTAATTTGTAAAAACACATAATAAAAATATAAGTATGTTAAAAGCCACCTGACAAAATGTCCCAGTTACTTTAAAGATTTACAGCTGTGGATCTACAGTTTGGTTGTCGTTCCGACGCTCCCCTTCAACTTACTTCTTCGTCTTGCATCGCGGCTACCAGGTGGCGCCAAAACACCAATATTATTAGGGCCTCAGCCACTCGCTTCCATCCGGCAACGGTTTCGTAGCTCTCCTCCGCATGATTACTTGTTGGAAGGGTTTTTGCCGGAATCATGAGAGCTCGGGTGGTTGTTTTCCCAATCAAAGGAAGGAATTGGTGCTTCAGCCGCTGCCTCGATCCCACCGCCGCCCATGTGCCCTCTTCAAAGCCGCAGAAATTGAGGGATCTCTTCAGGAACATCACTTCCACCCGAAGATCGGTCCCAGAAACTGCCGAGATGGTCGAGGACTTTACTTCGGAGAAGGTGCGTTGTTTGATAATGATTGGATTTTCTTTGAACTTCTCTATTGCTTGCTTCTTACTTATGTTTTGTTTTTGTGACCTAGATGAATCGAGCATGGGTTACCCTGGAGAAGGCTCCGGAGGGCACTTTTAAGAGTAAACTGCATAGGTGTGTCGTTTTTAGCTTTACTTCTAATTGGGCGGAAAAATATGGAAACGATTTTTCTTTATTGTGCTGCTTAGTCGATTGATGCTGATTGCCGTTTGATTCAGTTTGGGTTTGTGGCTCTTGTCGAGAGTAAAGCCATCTGAAATGTTCTTGAAATCTGTTTCTAAGGATCTTACTGGGGTTGAAGTTACTTATCCAGCAAGGTGAGGTACCTCTTTGCATTTCAGTTTCGTTTAGTGCTGCTTGATGAATGTATTTTTTTATTTTTCTTGTGGAATAGAAAAGATGGATGTTAGGCTGATTTTTCCACAGTATTTTAGTTGGATTGTTTTTTAATTCAGGAAAATGGTAGTTGGTATAGCCTTTCACTATGTCATTTGCTTTCCATTACTAATGAAACTAATTCCATGAACTTTTACCGTGATTTTGTATTACTAATGAAACTAATTCCATGATCATATCATCATAGTTATTATCCTTATCCCAACTATTTGGTGCCAACTTTATAAATGCTCATGTTCTATTTGTTCTTGTTGAGTCAAGGCGTTAAATTTATTATTCGTAAATTATTCTGAACAATTGATATTCATATTATCTGCTTGATGAATGCGTATCTGTTTCACCCTTTTACTTTCATTTGTAAATTATTTTCTAAACACTGATTCATGAAAAATATTATGCATATCCATTATTTTTTTTTGGGGTGTTAAATTGTAGGCAACTTTATCCACTTTCAAATATTTCAGATGGATCTATGAATTTGAATCTCAATTTTTTTCCTTGGCTAAATTTATATATACTTTCATTGGTTTGACGTTTGAAAGAACAAATTCAACCAATTTGAATTCTACCTCTCAATGTTTCGGGAAATAGTTTTTCTGGCGATATTGGACAGCTTTCAATTTGCTTATGATCAAGCCAATTTAGAGTTGTTCTGCATTTACTATTATATAATGCTTAATTGGTCCTATCTTAATATTAAATTGACTCTTATTATTCTCATCAAACTTTATCAACAGAATATGCTCTTCCTAGCTACCTTCAAAAGCTAAAATACATAGCTTATTAGATCCTCAACTATCTGAAAATCATTTTTACATTGTTCATATGTTTGTCGATGAAATGCTGATTGTGTAGATATCAAACATCTGAAGTCCCTCAGTCCTAAATAAAATTCTCAACATTAGTGTAGGCTGTGTAGCTATTAAACATCTCTTATGCTTCTAGAAACTCTGCTTACAATCACCATTCCAATCAATTTTAGCATTTTTTCTCGATAGTTTTGTTAAAGGCATTTTTATATATGAAATCATAAATTTTATGTAGTAGCTAACTAATATCAGAAAATTTTAATCCTCAGTCATAGCGGTAGGCTTTGAAAATTCTACCGCTATTCTCACTTTCTTAGTTGCCACTAAAATGCCTTTATCACATTTGAAATGCTTTTGCCAATAATGAAGTGTCTCAAGAAAGCAGTACCCTTTAGCCAAAAAAACGTATTTAAAAATTTTATCATCCAATTTATACTATCTCAATAAACTCAAAATAATCGTTAAATGGCTAGCATGATCATCATCATTGTTAGAATAAATAAATATAGCATCATTAAATTTTATTACAAGCTGATCACGGTAAGGCTTAAAGATTTAATTTTTCATTACCATGAGCACTGTTAGAGCATTTGTTATTCTTGAAGGCACAACGAATAATTTATAGTGTTTGACTGGGTGTCATATATTGTCTTTTCAATATTGCTATCCTTCACTTGATGGTGATCAAATCCTATGAAGATTCCAACTAATATAGAAGCTCTTTTTAATTGATCTAATACATTATCAATTTGTATCATAAGATATGACCTGATGTCAAATTCGACACATTTTTCCACAATAATTAAGACAAATAAAATATTTCTTCAATATTTCAAACAACTCAACAAGAATACAAAGATAAACACCTGCAATTTGAGAGATAAGTGATCTCTCCCAATTCCTACAATTCTACAGTAAGTAAATCTTTTTCAAATCCTAAACCTAAGACTTACAACTCAATTTAATGTCTAAACCTAACCCTAAACATAATAAACTATTTATACCCGACAATAATAATAATAATAAAAGACCAAGTTGCCTTAGTCATATAAAAGATAAAATTGTCCTTAGGTTAAACACCAATGTAACAATGCTCCACCCCCCTACACCGAAACTAGGCTAGAGCTTTCTTCTCCATACACAATCTAGCCGCCATGAGCATCTCCTCCCCATCTAGGCCTTTCACTGCGAAGACACTCCTCTTGATATACACACCTATGTGCATCTTCTCCCTCAAAGATCTACTTCTTCAACTTTTTAACCCAAGTTTCTCCACCCAACTTACTTTTCCTCTGCTATTCCCCCTCCCCATATATCAAAGAGGTTCGTGATGGTGGATGTTTTCCTTATGTTTCTCACATTCGTTCTTCTTTTCATTAGGTTTTGGAAATTGAGCTCTCAACGGGGTCTTGGATTCTCTCTCAACGAGCCTCTTTATCATCTTTCAAATTCCTCCCATGCTCTCAGATCGACCCTCTATCGGTTGTCCATTGAAGAAAACCTATCATCCATGATGACGAACCTTTCATCTATCCTAGATCTGACATGGTTGTTCGCTTCCTCTAATTTCTTTTCCAAATTATCTGCTTTCTTGGTTGTCACTCATCTTTAATTTTTTTTATCACAAAAGATAATTTTTATTTGTTAAAATTCAACGTTTTCTTTCGGGTGAGACAAATCGAGTGATTGGTTCGCAAGTCAGTAATCCGAGATCACTCCAATTTGGTCTTGGCTTTCTAGGTAGCTCAAATTGCAACTGTCGGGCAGCTATTGTTTCGTCTACCAAACTAGCTTGGAATTGTGACTACTGCGCAATGTAAGATTTGGAACAAGAAAAAAATGAGAGTTACGGAGCGGGAGAAAGTTGGGAGTTTCACCTCTCTGTATTTAGCTTCCCAGTTTCTGCCTTCACTGGTAGCTTTGATCGCGACTATATTAGGAAGATGACGCGGGAGAAAGAAAAATGAAAGTTTCAGGTCTCTGTACTCCGCTTCCTAGTCGTTGCCTTTCCAGGTAGCTTTGATTGTGGTTGTATTGGGTAGACGACGTGAAAATAGGAGAGTTGTGAGTTACGAATCTCTGTAGTCCACAATTTTTGCCAGTCTTCACAAAAGACGGAAGACACAATTTCTTTGTGGCCTTTCCCGCAAGCTGAAATGTGTGAGTTTGGGTCTTGGTAAGTTGCGATCTCGTTGTGGCTTTCCCTGTAGGTTGAGTTCTACATCGTGGATTGAAACTCTGGCTCTCGATGCTCGATCATTTTCTTTGATCTATGATACCAATTTGATATTATTTGACATCAAATTCGACACGTTTTTCCACATAAATTAGGGCAAAGACAATATTTTTTCAATAATTCAAACAACTCAACGAGATCACAAAAGATAAGCACCTACAATTCGAAAGGTAGACGATCTCTCTCAATTCCCACTTCCTACAATTCGAGAGGTAGGAAATATTTCCCAAAACCCTAAACTGTGACTCACAACTCAATCTCATGCCTAAACCTAACCCTAAACATAGTAAGTCTCTTTATACCCAATAATAGTAATAGTAATAATAATAATAATAATAATTCTCTTTATACCCAATAATAGTAATAATAATAATAATAATAATAATATCGCATACAAAAGACCAAATTGCCCTTAAGCATACAAAAGTCAAAATTGCTTTTAGTTTAGGCACCAACATAACATCATAGATAATCAGATCTTATCTTGATTCTAGGAAATAACAAAGCTCTTTCTAAATGATCCAATAGATTATTATGCTTTGAATGAGAATACTTATTTTTAGTAGTTACCCATGCAACTCTTTATAATCTATATATAGTCTCATCATTTCGTCTTTCTTTACAAACAAAAGAGGAGCACTCCAAGGAGATGCATTTGCTCAACTGAACCCTTCCTATCTCTTATAATTTAATATTAAGTTCGTGTAGCTCCCTAGTAGCCATCCTATAGAGTGTTTTGACAATCGATGCCATTCCAAGCCGAACAGTTATTGCAAACTACACGTGAAAACTGAAAAAAACTATTTGGAAAGCCATCACTATAATTATTCATTACATGAATGACATTTATATCACTGGAAATCACTTTGATAGCTTCTAATTTTTCCAAGTATATTAAATTTTCGTGTTTTCTCCTTTCATTCAACGTAATAAGAGATGTATCTACCCCCTTCCTGTATTGAACTTATCATCAAGCAAATCAAATGTGACCCTCTTCTTCTAACATTCAATCATACATGGGTGTTGGGCGGGCCGGGTTTGGCGTGGGTCAGGCTTGTTCGGGCTTTCACTAATCCAAGCGGGCTCGGGTTGGGCTTGAGCCCGGATTTTTTTTATAATTTTATAGCCAGGCCCGCCCACTAAATGGGTAGGGCCTGCCCGTGGGCCGCCATAAGCTTTGAAAGAAAAGTGATTTTTTTTTTTACCAAAAAAAATAAAATAAAATCTTGAACATATGATTGATTGGATGAGTAAGAAACAGATTATTATAGTCAGATTTAGAGTTGAATCAAAATATAGAGTTATGGCTTGCTTTAGATGCGTAGTGATATGAGTCGAGATTTTCTTGGAAGGATTTGTTTTTCCAATAATTGAGTTTATGGTTATATATTATAGCAATCATGCACACATATATTGCTAAAAATATAGATTGTCATGAAAATAATTATAAAATAAGACTATTTAAATTGGGAAGATTTATGTTGATCACTCTTTATTACATTTATTAACTCATTTATTTTCATATAATATTCATCTGATGGTCTTCCCTCGAGAGCTACAAACTGCTTATGCGGCAACAATGCTTCAGAACTCAAAATTTGAACAAACAACAAGAAAAAAAACCGTTGACACACAATTTTACAGTACTAAGAGATTCAAATCGACAACTTGCAAAGAAAAACGCCATAAACATTAATTGAAGTAAAAGAATACTCTAAATATTATTATTCTTCATGACTATTTTGTGACTAGTTTACAAGGAAAATATTTTAATAAATCAAAAAAGTAGATAATTAATACATATGATTGCAATCATCTATTGATAATATTGAAGAAGGTGTTAGATTATATTTATGAGACCGGGATAGGCTTTAAGCAGGTCAGGCTCATTTGGGCTTTGACTAAGTCAAAGCAGGCTCAGACCGGGCCAAACCTGCAAAATTTTATTTTTTTCAGAGCCAAGCCCGTCCATTCTAAGAGGGCTTATGGCGAGCCCGTCAGGCAGCCCACCCAATGCCCAGGGCTACATTCAATGATAGCATTATATTTAACCAACAAGTTCATTACAAAAATCACTTCAAATTCAATCAGAGCCTTAATGGTAACTAAATCAAATCATACTTGAATATTTCATCAGTTATCATAATATTGACAGATTAACTTGCAAACTCGCTATTATCGGCAGGAAATATTTTGATGCTGATACAAATGTAGCTTATCAAATAATATCTCTTATAGGAAAGAATGTGACGCTCTAGAAGAAAAAAACACTTAACAATAATATCTGAAATGCTAATCATAGTTGTTTCAACCTTGAAGATTCTTTGGCTTTCTGATGTATCAGAGCAAAAACTTCTGCTTATGGTGCTCGTGCATTGGCTTCTAATGATTTTCCTTTTTCCTTCAGTACTACTTTATTCAAACAGGTTTTTTACCCCTAGGATGCTCTACTCTTCAAACTCCTTTTTGCTCCCTACAACCTTGTATACTCCTTGGGTAGCTTCTTTTCATATGGCCTTTTTCCTCGCATAATATACAGGTTCCAGTATTCCTCAAGCATTCTCGTAAATGAGACTTTCCACATGTTGCGCACATAGGAGCATTACACTGGCTTTCATATTGTTGTTGTCCAAAGGTAAATTTTTGCTTCTTTTTAAATTGACAATCTCTTCTACTGTTAATTGATCTCTTCTTATAATTCCTTTTCATTTTTGCCTCATCATAACCATAAAATTTTGTAGGAGTCCTGCCCTCTCCATTAACTCAATAAAGTCATTGGTACAAAGTGAAATCAATGGTTGATGCAACCCAATATGTTTATTGTCTTAGAAATCTACAGCATTTCTCATTTGGGTTATTGATCAGCTATGAAATATATCTATATAAGGATGTGCATTTTGCTTAATATTGAAGCTCTATCTTGGCTCCCAGTGAGATTTACAAAACTTTCTTACAGTGCTCGTCTTGTTAAAGGAACTCGCCAATCCTTGCAAACTTGCTTGAATTCTTATTAAGTAATTTGCTCCTTTGCTTTATATTCAAATTTTTCCTAATATTAGCCTATTCGCTGTCGTTATGCTCTTCTCTCTATTAGAGAATAGCTAGACATAAACCTATTACTCAGCATTTCATGCCATTCAAGACCTTCTCTATCTTGATTTTCCAATCCTCTACAACTCTTGTATCCACTCCTCCCTTGCCTTACTTGACATTAAACTCTGAAATAATTTTAAGCATTTATCAATCTTCCTATTAGTAGTGGTACTTACACTAGTGTTTGGTATTGTAAGTGTTGAGATTGATATGGAAAGTTGTATCTTCTCACTACAAGAAATACACAAATTATCGTCAGACAATTCCGACAGTAATAGGGAAATAATTCGACGCTAATCCCTAATAATATTGGATTGCATCTGATGATTACTCCACGCAAAAAATGAGCGTCTCGAAGTCAATTAGCATCAACAGTGATTTATGCAAACAATTTGCATTGCGTCCGATCATGTTGATCTTAGCAAATTGCGATGTCATTCATGAGGACATGAACATTATCTATGGAACTTGCGTCCAGTTTTTATGTGCACAAATTGGCGTCGGATCGTGTATCCAATTAATCTGTCGTTGAGGTGGACTAGCCTTGAATTTTGTTAAGAGTTATTTGAGTTGAATTTTTCCGATGCAAACCTACAACAATTTTAAATATATATATAAAAGAGCAATAAGATTTTTTACACTTGCACGCGATAAATAGTACGAACACTTACTCATCACCAGCACAACACAACATAGAACATATTGCACAAACATGTAATGAGCGTGAAACCAATTAAAAATACAAAGATTACACAAAATTTGTTATAGTACCCATCTAATAAAAATTTATAAAATCTAAATGGAAAATATTATCTAGAGGATTTTTGTCCAAAAATTAAACAAGAAAAAAATTCGTAAACCCCTACGGGGCATCGTAAGCGAAATCATCTTCATCTCCCCCCTTCTCCCTCATCTCCTTATTTACGTAACTCAAAGATCGTTTGTCGCGGTGATCAACAACTTGCTCAAGCCGCGCGATGGTGGAATGAACTCTCTAATGCCCTTCATGTAGACGAACCTCTTTCGTCAAAGCAACGATATGGCAAACAACTTTATTGTTCTCCGATGATGATGATCTCAAATCCTTAGCAGCTCTGGAATGCTCGGTCTTAAACACAATACACTTTGCGCCCATGCAATATACCTTTCCCTTTTTCCCTGCAACCTAGCCTTGATATTTCATTGTCAGACTGCTCGGAGCTACACTGCCATCGGGCTCTAGCTTTTCGCATCCCGAATGTGCTCATAACCTTCCTATATAATTAAAATAATGATTAATTATCATTTTATATTAATTATGCAAGAAAATTATAGAAAATCAAAGTTCTTACTTACATTACGCTGAGAGATATCAAAGACCCGCTATTTCGTGCATATAAGTTTAATTACATACCAATTTACATGCAAAATACTTATGCAAAAATTGAATATTTTAGCCATCTAATGATTTTATTTGACGACCAATTTTCTCTGTACACTCACTTTGAAATCTTGTTTATTTGCAAATGATTTAGGAAATACAATTTTTCTATTTATAATTTTTTTTTTAAATTGTACTCAGCTAAAATAATCTTAAACTATAATTTTACTTAAATGTTTTTCTTTTCATGCAAGCCTCAAATCTTACTACTTCTAATCGGAGTGGTTTTGCAGAATAAATTGCAAAAGCTGAATTTAAAATCACCAACGTAGTTTCCTCCTCCATTCCCTTCTCTCTCACAGCCTCTAGTAGACTCTTGATTCCCTGTTTGCTTGCAGAGAAGTGAAGGGATGGAGAAATGGTAAGTATGAACTAATGCTATATTTTAATACTTATTAATATATAAGTAATTATATTTCTACCCTTAAACTAATCTCAAACATTCATTTACAAAGCGGCCAATGCCTCAGGTATGGCAAAGTGAAAGGCCTAAAACTCCACTAAAATGCTAAAGGACAATAATTCGGGTATAATATTATTAAATTAAAATTTAGATCTAATTTTAAAAACTTTTATATATAGCAAAATGATCCCAACATAATATAAGATTTTATAATAATATTATTCATCAGGTGCAAGAACTTTGTATCTCTACCCGAGCATGCATCTTTTTTTTTCATTCAAGGGGAACACATTTGTGGAGAATCTTTCCATCTATGAGAGTAGCACAACTTTATTCTGTTCCGTAGAACATAGCACAGCACATAATTAGAAAGCTTTAGTCATTTTGCTATGTGGCAATCTAGTCTGAGTTTTCAATGAATCTCTTTCAATTTATTTGGTAAGCATCTGCCATGTGCCATGAATCTAACTTCAAAATCTACAAGTCAAAACTGAATTAATATATGAACTTATTAATTGTCAGCGCTTTTAAACCCAATGTCACTAACTGCTTGGGTAATTTAGTTGGTTTACCTATTTTTGGCCATTCCTTGGATAAGGTTATGAAGTTCTGTCAAATCATTGGTCTGGAAAGAACAAATAGAAAATTAAAAACCATTAGTTTAAGCTTGCCTCCAAATTTATGCAATTTTAAGCGTTTATACTCATGTTACATGTAGTGTTCTCATCTATATGCTAGAAACCCGTTGTAGAATTTTAATTTGACACTTTTTTTTATCATAAATGTTTCTTTCCAGGCTTCATTTTGGGCTTAAAATACTCTTGAACTCTTTTTAGTATTGTGGTTTAAATTGCACTCCTTTTTTGAAATCTGCAGTTTGAATCCTCGTCTTGTTCGCAGAAGATTACGACATATTGCAATGAGGTAACAATTATCTTTACTGTTTAGCATTCAAGTATGTTGTTCCTTACCGTTTACTTACCCTCCATTGTCTATAATATCACAATTATCGGAGGCAGGGGATCTGCAATTCATAGAAAGCATTTGTATGGCTCGGTAACTTTACTGCCACTAACTTCAGTTCTCACTGTAAGTACAACATTAGATAGTAATTATATTCTGCTCTTATATTGAAATATTTAATTACTTATCTTTCTTTTGCTGTTTTTTCAAATACTATCGTGCTCTTTCTTTCAAGACATCATTCTGTCTTGTTATGATTTCCTTCACTGCATTTGGAATGAAAGCTGCATCTTGAATGTAAAAAATAGTTAAGTTGCATTTGGATTTACATTTTTAATTACAATTGCAATATTATGTTTCTTCTAAGAGCATTTTGTGATTGCTTGTGTTATTTCACCCAAACTGCCTTGAGAAAAACAACAAAAGAACCTGGAAGACAATACCCATGCTTACTTAGAAAACTAAGGTCTTTGTGGCCTAATGATCAGGAAGCTGGATTGTCGTGCGGAGGATCTAGAGAGATTCACTGTCATTTTTCTTTTCTTTACTTTTTTTTTTCAGTTCAAGGGTAACCCTTGACTTCTCAAAGGGAACATCCTTTTGGATTGCATCATGTAGTCAAGTTCACATCTAGATTTTTGATGTTCTGCATCAAGCTTCTCATTAACAAAGTTAAGGCTCGTGAGTTCTGAACTAGGTGGCCAGTTTATCTTTATTTTTTTTTAACGCCTTAGTTCCTACTTTGGATAGAGGCCAGTCATATTTGATGTTTTTTTTTGTTAGTAGACAGTTTTTTTTAAGCCTTCTCATTTTATCTCCAGCACTGTTCTTTTAGCCTTGGTCTCTGTAGGGTAGTTGAGTATTACAAACATAATTAATCTATATATATCGAAAGTTGACCGACACAAACATATTGATCTTCATCAGTGTCACATCTAGAGCTGTCAGAAAAGCTTATTGTTTGCAAACAACTCATGTTTTACTCGTTCAATAGCTTCTGTTCAATTCGTTCGGTTGACAATAAAGTCGAACACAAACAATTTTTTTGAGTTCGATTTATAAATTAATGAGCTGAACATGAACAAAGGTTGGTTAGTTTGTGTTCGACTCATTTTTTGGCTCGAAATAATTAATAATTAATTAATAGTATTTATTTATAATATTTTTATATTAATTTTTATATGTATTAAAAATGCTATTTTTTTTTAATTATTTTAGTGACATAATTATAAAAAGGGAAAATTACATACATGACACCCAATTCTTATGGATTTATTTATCTCACACCCAAAGTTTCATTTTTAAACACACATCACTTTACCTATTGATGAAAAGATAGATTTGACTATTAAAAGGTGATAATGAGTGTTATTTGTTATTATGAAAGTGTTGATGTGAGATAGGTAAAATGAAAGTTTTGGGTGGTATGTATGTAAAAGCCCCTTATAAAAAATATAAATTTAGTTGTTAGATGTGTTGATAAATAGGATTTGGGTAGCATGTACGCAAGTGTCCCTAAATACCTAGGGCTCGACTCATGCTTTCCCTTGCTCTATTTAGGGTGTTATATATAAATATATAAGAGTTGGGCGTTATGTATGTAAGTGCCCTCAAATTTTCCCCAAAAATCCGGTCTGCTGCAACCTCTCTGCTCGCAGGCACAAATATAGCTATTTACGAGCTATTTCGAACACAAACTCATTTCAAACAGAGACAATTTCAAACGAGCCAAACATGAACATGCTCTGGGCTCGGTCATGATTGCCTCATTTACACCCGTAGTCACATTTCCGGCCCAGAGATCGGTAAATTTTACTAACATGAATTGTGATGAAAATTTAAAAGTTTGTTTTGTTCTCGTGAAAGAAAAATTCATATATAAATAATATAAATAAATATGAGAAAAATTAAGTTTATTTTATTTCATTAATAATAGTAAACCAGTGTTACAACTGAATGAATTAGGTGAAACAAACTGAAAAGTATATTGAAATGAAAATGAATAAACAACTTCTTAAACCCAAAGTGAATATAACTAGAAATTATGCATAAGCATAAAACATCGAAATTATTAATGCTGAAAAATCCACTCCCTTGGTGAGAGTCTATAATGTAATCTGGCAAAACTTGCTATGAGTAAAATGATAAACAGATGAGTCTGATCATGAGCATGCGTGGTTGTAATACATTTTTATTACATTTTTTGTTAATATCTATATGTTACAAGATCAAGTATGCTAATATATACATACACGTCTCATAAATCATTTATTTCTATCTAACAATATTTGAATATAAAAGTGAGCGCATAAAACCTTTAAACGAGAGGTGTATACCAATCCCATGAAAATCATATGATTTTTCTGAAGATCCGTCAGTTCGGTTGGCCATTAACAAAGTGTTTAATACCGATATAAAATTATTATAATAACATTGAACACATCACAAGGAAGTCATAATCAGGAGTATTATTAGCAATAGAACCAACGTTATTCATATATCAAACATGAATTGAAGAAATAAAATTTATTGCATTAAATAGTGATAACATTATTAACAATAATTGCTGCAAATATAAGCGTCATTTGAATAAACAAGAATATATGTAGCAAATAAATAAGGCTAAATTATTCACATGATTCATTATGAACATAAAAATGAAATCTACTGATAAATATATGACGAGTAATAGAATCTTAATGGTAAGATTGACAAATTTACATATTAGTTAATAACCTAATACAAAAAACTCGGATAGGCCTCTCACAATGAGAGGTATGTTTATCCAATAATAATAAACAATTATTTTCCTTGTGTTGAGCAGTATGGGACTTGTAAGTCTATTGAAGATTCAACTTACGTTGTCAGTTTAAAATCTTTGTTGAATACTCTACAGCTAAATTCCTAATTAGAATCTAAAATCGAGATAAATGGATACATGATAACATGCAACGTAACTTACTCAAATCTGATTAGATTGGTATTAAGCCCTTTGTTAATGGCTGGCAGGACCGATGGGTTCTTAAAGAAATCTTTGAATTTTCATGAGATTATTGCTACTATTCATTATTTCAATTTGCCATAAAACGTTGACTATATATGTGGATATACTAACATACATACACTTTTATGTTCAAAAATATCAGATAGAGACAAATGACTGATGAGTCATGTGCAGATGTACAAGCCTACTTTGACATTATGTCATATGAATGTATTCAAAGTAGTATATTATTACAATCACTCGTACTCATGATCATTAACATGATTATAATTTAAATTGTTTGAAACATATGACATTCTTTTGCCATTGCAATGTAGATGATATTGATTATTCTGACTATATATATATATATATATATTTGAAAATCTCGAGGGCTGATTTTATTGAATTATAAAAGATACATAAATGTTGTATGAGAGGGCCCAATAGAGACACACTACCCATATGATACTAAGTACAGTGATACCCCAACAAAAGATACAGATAGACTAAAAAAAAATAAAACATCCAGAAAAAAGTAGCTAGGGACGAGCCAGTTTAGTCCCGTCTCTTCCTCTAGTTTTAAGAGCGGAGTTAGATAACAAACTTTGAAGAATCGTGTCATTGTCAGGTGTAACCAAAATATCATTCATTAAGTTTCCAAGTTGGAGTGTGTCCCCAACGTTCTTCTTCCGCAGAGAAGTGTAAGTCTGTCATTCTTCGTCTAAAGACTGACTCATGTGATCTTCGGTCTGATTAGATATTAGAATCGCAGTTGAAGAAAAGGCAGTCCTTGTCACAACGATAGGTTCAAGTGTATGTGAAGTGTGAATTGTCACCCCTGCACTTGATGCTTCCTGAATCGGAGCTGCGTTTCCTTAATAGGAGCTACGGAGCTATCCTGATTTTCGGTCCGAACATTATTCGTTTAGTTTTGTCAGGAGAAGGGATCCCAGGGGCAGAGACTTAACTCCTCTCTTGTGGTGATTTCCTCCTCAGGTTGGCTGCCATCAGGTTTACTGGGAGCGCGTTCAGGCATGTGAGGTGCACTAGTAGCAGTTCCTGCTTTTGAATATTGGTTCTCAACTGTTGGTGCAATATGAAATATTTCTCCTGCGGGTGTCCAAACATCTTGCAGTGCTTGCAGTAGTAAGTTTTTGGTTTCATAATGATTTTTTGTTGATAACCATTGTGAGTAGAGCCAATCCAAACTTCTACATTTGTTAGTGTAATATCTCTTTCAATCAAAATCCTTGCAGCGGAGGGCTTTGAGAAATGAATTGTATGTAAGTCTACCTGCAAAGGTTTTACAAGGATTGTTCCAATTGTATATAAGATAAGTAGGTCAAATAATTGAAGCTTGAGTTCACATAATGAGAACCATGTTTTTCAGCGTTTAGGCGCAATTGAAGGTTCTCGACTGGGATCAAAATTAGGGATCCATTTGAACAATTTCATATGTTTGTCATCGATTGTGATGACTTTTTTTTAAAAATCCTCGTGTACTGAGAAAATTCATGTGTAATTTTCTTCTATGCTCAGCTGTATCATAACATGTCTTCTGTCGAAAAGTCTCACCTGTCAATCCCCAATCAGTTTGAAATCTTCAAAAACCTTTCTAATAATTTCTAATTGGAACTTTTCGACTATTGTAAATTTGTATTTTCCCGCACGACTTGAAGTTTCAGTGTCAGAGAAGAATATTGCTAGTTTGCTCGTTTTTTTCTCTACTTTTTTTTATGAGATTGCAATCTTCATGCTCTGCAACAGAATCATGGTACATCTGCGAGAATATCGGACTATCTGCGAGGTGGAAAGGGAAGCTGCGTTTGTGAACCACTGTAGCATAGGAGGGTTTGACGGGGTTATCATCGGCGATGACAACAGCGTAAGAAAGCCCTGAGACCATTAGTGTGCTTCACACAAGCACTGCAGCAATGGCGCAGCTTGCCGATTGCCGTTTATGACGGGACGCGAGCAATCAAGTAGGTCGAGCAGAACTTTGGCGGAGCAGTCGAGAGGCTTTGACGTAGAAGACGAGCAACTTGAAAACAGAGGATGAAAACTGCAGGGCGAAGCGCCGCAGACGACGCAGCAAAAGAGTAGGCTTGAAGCAGACGACGCGAGCTCCTCCGCAGCCAGAGCCGATGATGAAGACAAAAAGGATCAAAACGAGCGAAAAAACAGACGTCTGTTTCGAGCTAGGGTTCGCCATGAGCGGAAACCCTAGCAGAGCGAAAACGAAGACCCATCCGGACGGTTACACTATTCTTACTATATATATTGTATTTCTAGAAGAGCGAAAACGAAGATCCATCCGGACGGTTACACTATTCTTACTATATATATACGATCTCCTCCGCAGACGACGCAGCAAAAGAGTAGGCTTGAAGCAGACGACGCGAGCTCCTCCGCAGCCAGAGCCGATGATGAAGACAAAAAGGATCAAAACGAGCGAAAAAACAGACGTCTGTTTCGAGCTAGGGTTCGCCATGAGCGGAAACCCTAGCAGAGCGAAAACGAAGACCCATCCGGACGGTTACACTATTCTTACTATATATATTGTATTTCTAGAAGAGCGAAAACGAAGATCCATCCGGACGGTTACACTATTCTTACTATATATATTGTATTTCCAGAAGAGCGAAAACGAAGATCCATCCGGACGGTTACACTATTCTTACTATATATATTGCATTTCCAAATTTCTTATCCTTTATGTTTTAATAGTTGGTGGTTATTAATTAGTTTGATTAGTCAAACTCATTGGTTCTCACTCTTTTCATAGCAAGTTTTATCTGAGTACTTGGTTGACCCTCACTGCAGGTGCAAATCTTATTAATCGTTGTTTCAATATTTTAAGTTTATGTTTTATATGTTTTAATTCTAGTTGTATTCCTCTTGAGTTTGATTAATGGCTTATTTTATCATAAAATTTTATTTATGAAATAAAATAAAATTTATATGTGTGCTGTACAAAATAGGTTATACACTTTTATCATGTTTCGTATTACTGTGCCACCTTAAGATCCTACGTGTAACAATGAGATATCATAGTGTTATTCGAAACTTAAGATGATGACTAATTACCGTACAAAATAAAGTGTTACTTTATGAGAGCTGCCTCTTGAATCCTAGATTGAACAAAGTGCTATATGGTTGGAGCCAACTTTTAAATCTTTAGGGGCTACCTCTAGAATCGTATTTGTTTGATGGATGATTGTGAGTTGAGAATACTTAATATTACATCAATCACTTAAGTGGGATAGATTGTGAATCCCCAAAAATAAAACGAAGCTAGACTACTAAACATCAATGCTCATTTTTGGTGTAATAATTGGAATTTTATAAGAAACTTTAAAGTTGTGCGTGCTGCACCAGAGTACGCTTAGGATGGATGACCTCCTGAAAGTTACACCAAATGGTCAAAATCATGAGGTCATTTGGCCTAAACAGGCAATATCTCAGATGAAAATTTGGATTTTTTACTGTCAACCTTATCCTCTTATGTTTGCTCATCTTAACATTTTTTTATATTTTTTAACTGATTCAAACTGCCATGGTATTATCCTACTTTCTTTTTCTATCTTGCTCACCTTTCAGCTTAGTCATGCACGTAGTTCCAAAGAGGAATTGATATTTTTAGTTTTAATCTGCTGGGCCTGGTGAAAGCTTTTTGGTTTCGGCTGAATTACAAAGGTTGCAATCATTTTGTTTGTGCATACTAATCAAAATTATTGGAGTACTGATACTGTATAATGCCATTCATACTTCAATATTCTTAAAAGTTATATCTGAGAAGTTAGATATTGTGGTTTTATAGAATAAAATGAGCGGCTAGATATTGTGGTTTTATAGAATAAAATGAGCGGCTAGATATTGTGGTTTTATAGAATAAAATGAGCGGCTAGATATTGTGGTTTTATAGAATAAAATGAGCTGCTTTATCGAATAATAAGACCTTTTATCTGTCATTATGAAATGATTTCACATGAATTTTCTTTCTTCAGCAAGTTTTCTTGTATCTATAGGTATTGCCACTGCCGAATGTACCATTTTTCTGGATCTTGTTTCGTGCATATTCTCATTGGAAGGCTCTCAAGGTAAAAAAAAACAACGGCTGCATTTCAATTTATTGTGCTATAGTGCAGTCACTAATGTATATATATAGATAGATATGTAAACTTGATATTCTCATACAAGTTGGTTTCAAACAAATCTATTTTCTTCCAGTTTTAAGTGTTATGTATGTAAATATGAAAGTTTGTGTTAGATATGTAAATACATACAAATTGTGTGTTATGTTTGAAAATGCCTCTTAAAAAATGAACTACTATATTCAGAAAATCTTGAATAAACGATTTCAATTTAAGAGTATATGTTATTTACACGAATAATATTATTTTTTTAGCGATATTTTAAATAACTTCCACACTTGGTTAGGTCTATAAATTAATTTTTAAATATTTAATTTTGAAAAAAACATATTTAGGGTTCTTACAATATTCATATTTCCATACCATTCTCTCCACTTCTACCCTTTCCAATGCCCCTTGTTAGAATAAGCTTATTAATTGATTTTTTTTCTCTTTTTTGATATTTTCTTACAATCAAACACCTCAAAAAAAATCTGAGTACTTCATTTTTTGCTATTTGTCTTGTTAGGGAAGTGAGAGATTACTACTACTAGTTTCAGATTGCTCAAGGACGTGGAGTTCGATTGCTAACAATGAGAAGGGCAGTGGTTCAAAGGATGAAAATGATCATGGAGCCAAAGCTGCGCCTCAGTCTCCATTGGTAAGTTCATTAAGATGACTGATTACTTGTTCTCTGTCACCCGCAACCTATAAGCATTTATTTTAGAAACTGTATGTTAGAACCATATGATTTCCATGTATTGCCGTGAATTTTTGTATGTTAGAAGTGATTTTTTTTCTATGATTTTTATTCAGTTTTAGTATCCGTAGTTTGTTTGACAATTACAACCCAGTTTTATATCTTTAAAGTCATTTTTGAGGTCTTGCATTAATGCTAGTTTTAAGAAAGCCTATGAGTTCTATTGCAGTTTCTTCTCAACTCTGCGAGATGAATAAGTTAGGCTTTTCCATTGCAATAGATGGTCTTCCTTCGATGATAAAATTTGCTAGTATCTTTGTTGTCCAAGTGGTTCTTTTAATTCTATTTTAAATTTATTTGATTGTTACGCTGATTCATTTTTCCATTTTTTCCATTTTTCAGCTAGTTGCCTTTTTGTAATGAAATTTTAGTTCTCCATATTTACTGAAACATCTTTATTTTATCCCTCAAAATTTCATAGTACATCTCTTTCTGTGCTTGCTCGTTTCACTTCTTAGGATATTAGGTCCATTTTTTTTCTGTGGGGGAACCAGAACCTTACTAACATAGCCAACGAGAATGAGATAAGAAATTTTGAGAGAAACAAAAGTTTTGAGTGAGACGCTCTATAATTTCATTATTGTAGAATTAAGTACCAAAGATTGCTTACCCAGATTTTATTTGCAACCCTTTATTTATAGTTTTGTATTGGGCCTTGAGCACAATAGGAATGGCTACATATTGAACTACATTACTAATAAAATTCATGGTGAGACTTATTATTTGTTTGCCTTAATTTATATGAGACATATAGTATTTCTCATCTAAACCTTCATATTTACATACATAGCACACAATTTAAGTGTTGTGTGTGTAAATATAAAAGTTTAGGTGTGAGATATGTAAATACATAAGAATTGTGTGATGTGGATGTAAGTGGCCCAATATAATATCGTGGGACATCAACTAATGGAGCTCAACGAAGCAACCAGAGTATCTTTAAGCTCGTCTCTTCACCTCAGCCTAGGGTTGTAAATGAGTTGAGTGGAGCTTGAGCCGCCCTCAGCTTGAGCTTGATTAATTAATCAAGTTTGAGCTCAATCTCAAACTTCATTCTACGAGTTAAAACCAGCTCACGAGTCGGCTTGTTCAGTATGAAAGAGAAAAAAATATAAATTTAAACTAGTGTTATAATGAAATGAAAAACATAATGTGCGGAGATAATTAAAAAGAAATTACTTAATATAAAATGCAAAATATAGTTTTTTTAATATTTTCGATAATCTAAAGAAAATTTCTTGATTTTTAGCCTTTTAAATATATTTTTTAAATGAGACTGCTCACGAGCTAACTGAGTCGAATCAGGGCTAGTTTGAGCTTGGCTTGTTGGCTCATTGAGATCAATTCACAATAGTCAAGCTCGAGCCGGCTCTCGAGTCTGCTTGACTCACTTACTCCCTTAGTATAGCCACAAATGTGGACTCGGGTCCTAATTCGGGATTTGGCTTAGGCATAACTCTCATTATTAAAGCTCTCTCCCTCTCCCCAACAAATATGTTATTTGTATTGTTTTCCATTTGTATAGGTGCTCAAACCCTCTGAAGATCTTGACAAACTCATCGTTGAATGGACGTCTAACGATGGAATTAGAAGCTGCACCATTAATGCAATTTCCGAACTGTACAGTCTGGATAAGAAGCAGGTATTAAAGTACAAGGATTCTCTATGATCTCATATATTTGTCCCCAGAGTTCCCCACTAGCTCCAGAATGCTTTGTTGTGAATCGCATTACAGCGCCTCAGGCTCCTCGTCAAGAAGGAAAATTTGCCAGAGATATGTATTGTTCAGCACCACGTCTGACATTTGTTTTAGTTCTACACTTGTAGAACTAGTCTTGAATTCTTATTTAGTTTTAATTTTGCATAATAATTTCAGCCAATTTTGTTGAATTAATTTTGCGCAACTGTTCAGTGTTGACTTTCTGGGAATAACTTTAGCTATGTATTGTGTTATCATTATTATTATTTCGGGATAATCACATATAGACTGCCCGAAACATTGATATTTATGAATTAACCATGCAAATTTTAGGTGTTTGATATGTAAATACATGAGAATTGAGTGGCGTTTATGTAAATGGCCCCGTATTTTTTAGTAGAAGACTTTTGATTTTTAAAATTCATTTTCAACAAATAAATATTACATCAGGAGTCTTGATGCAAAATCGTATTGCATCAGAACTCTAACCAATTTCTGTCACGTGTAAAGTCCGGCCCTATCATATACTATACACATGACAATCAGGGATTGGAGTTTTTATACAGTTTTGCATCATCCCGAACTTCTTTTTATAAATGTGCATGAGAATATCTTGATGCAAACTTTGTTTGACATATATGACGCTTCTTTTTGAACTCTCTATTGTAAATGTGCATGAGAATATCCTGATACAAATTTTGTTATATATATATATATATATATATATATATATATAAAAGAGAGTACTTTTGAAGATAAAGGGATTGTAAAATTGTAACATTGAATCAGAGAATGAGGGATATGCAATGGAATTGAGAAATTTTTTACAGGGATTATGATGTAGGGAAGAAAGATTGCAGATTTTGACTCTCTATGCGCGAATATCATGAGAAGATAGAAATTATGAAAATAATAGTGGGAAGAAAACTTTAAAAATTTCCTCCATAATTTATTCGTAATTTAAAAAATATTCGTTTAACCCTTATTACTAGATATAAGATTTGTTTTAAAATTTTAATGTATTGATTGAATAATAAATTTAATATAATATGTTAGTTATATAATTTTTTAGTCTAATTAAATTTATTTTTAATCGTATTAATTAATTAGTTATAAGAGTAAATAAAGTAGTGATAAAACTTATTTTGTAAACAAATAAATCAGTTATAAAATTTTTTTTGGTCTAATTTTTGTGGTTTATAGTAGTAAATCTTGTTAATTATTAATTAATTAATTACTTATTAAATTTATTTATAATAAATTGGAATTTTATAATTATATTTCAATTTAATGTAGTTATAAATAGATTAATTACATAATTATTATATATATTAATTTTTACATATTATATAATCAAATTAGTTGAAATTAATTTAAATAAAATTAAAATAAAATCTATCTTTCCTATCTGAGCTCTCTCCTCCCATCTCCAGGTTTTGCTTGAAACAATTACCTGTGTTCCCCATCACTCTACAGTGACCGAAGTCGATATTGTCATGCTCAGAGTTCAGAAGGCGGTACACCACAACAACACAATACGTGCTGAAATTCAATAAAACAATTTTGAAATTTTAGAGAAAAGCCTAAATGCAAAAAAAAAAGGTAATATAAATCTTATCCATAATAATAATAAATAAAAACAAAAATTAATTAGTCAAAACTGGAAGGGCAACACTGAACAACTACCCCGACCCTAAAAGAAAATTATTAATGAGTAAGTTTGAAAAACAAACTCAATAAACAACAGTTATTTATTAAAACATAAACAACAAAGGAAATGAACATGCAGTATGAACAACAAATAAAAGCAATTACTGTGTGCATGTATAACATTTTGAGGCAACAAAGATAGTGGTAATCATCAAATATGCATAACATAATAAAACATACAATCATTTCCTATCAAGTTTCTCATTATTCGACTTTTCATTTATTATCTTTATATAGTCGATTTTAATAGATATCTTAAAACGGGGAAGGTTAATATCAACCCAAGAAAACCCGACGATTTCTTATAGAGTCGTCATTCTGTGGGTCTATTTCTCTTCTGGTTTGCTTTAACTCCAAGATTCAGCAAAATCTCATTGGGAGATGGATTTATGGGATTTGGAGAAGTTGAAGTACGAGAGAAAGTCGATTGTTACCATCCTCAATGATCTCGAGTAAAAGCGCACCGAAGGGGAGGAAGGCACGTCGCAATCCTATTATTGCCTTCATTGCTAGCTCCAAGAGCAGATGTATCGCAAGGGTGGTTTTCAGGCATGGGAGAGTTAGGGAGCAAGAAAGGGTAAATTTTCGGTGCTTACAAGTGCATATAGGGGTTATTTTGTTGCAAGTAGGATTTGATTTAAATAGGATTTAGTAAATCTTATAAATTTGAATTTATCAATTCATGAAGTGGTTAAATCATAAAAAAAACTATTTGATATGTTGTAAGTAAATCCTGATAAATTCTAAGAAACTGCATTATAGCTTTAAAAATATTTAATAAAATATATCAGGATTTATTGAACGGGTATCCAAAACCTTAAAATGTATAAACAATGGTGCATTTATATTAATACTTAGTTAAAAGATTAATAATTGTTTTTTAAACTAGTTATTAATCAATAAATTAACATCAATCAATTACTAATTATATAAATTAAAAATTATTTAGAATTTTATTAAATATTTTAAAATTAAAATATATTATTTATTTATTAACATTAAATAATTGAATATAAACTTATCTAATTATAATTAATTTGATAATATATAAAATATTTATTATTATTATTATTATTACTATTACTATTTTTTTTAAATGTGAGGGCTAAAACTACTTTTTTCAATTTATTAATCAATTAAAATAATAAAAAATTTTAAAAATACAACCCTATCTTCGGAGAACCTCCCATCTCGGCTCAAAACCCTCGAATATGTCAGAGACCACCGAAATTCCCTTTCTTTCTCATCCTTTCTCTCCGCTCCTACCATAAACAATTAAGGAAGGTAAGCCCGTTCGCGCCATTCTTCCTCTTGGCTCGTCCCGGATTTACTAATTCCGCCGATTCACAGGATTTTGTAAATCTCGGATTTATCTGGAATCGGCGTCATTTTAGGATTTACGGGAGCTCAGGATTTATGGAGGCATCGCCATGAACTTTTCTGACCAGTGGCGTTCCCTTTGGCCTGTGGCCGGCGTCCCTCACGCACCTAATCTTCTCTCCGGCGATCAAGATGCCGCCTTCCGTCCTCTAATCTTCCACCCTTCGCCGCAGCGCCACTTACTCCACGCCTCCTCCTCACTCGCCCTCCCTATTCCGCCATCATTCTCTGCATCTATACCCCACGGCATTCAAACCTTCTTCGGCCGCGGTACCAATGAGTCATTTCTCCCCATTACCGATCTGTTCAACCTGGCTGCAGACATCCAATCCTCGCTCGCTTCAGCTGCCAGCAACTCCCTCGACCCCTTTTCCCGCAACAACCTCCACGCCCTTCCATGCCACGACGGATTTTCTCTTATACTTTTCTTTCCAACTGGGGATAATGCTGACGAGATTGGATTCCTATGTCTTCGTTTCGAAGATGATATATTCAAACCAGATGTTGTGGTGGATCCTGGAGGGGATATCTTCAAGCAGAGGGAGGGAATGAAGCACCCTCGACACCGGATACTCAAGCTGTCTGTTATTTCTTCTCCGACGGACTGTTCTTCACCAACTGATAATTCTATCATAGAGGGCTTTCTTCTGGCTACCACGATGTATTCTGTGAATTGGTTTAGGGTTGAAACACAGAACACCGATGAAGGAAAGATGAGGCCTTTATTGATACCTCTGGCCAAGCAGGGGTTTTTGAGTTGCGTGGTGGATGCTTGTTGGAGCTCTCATTTCTTGGAGGAGAGCGCTGTGCTGCTTGAAAGTGGAGAACTTTGCTGGTTTAATCTTGTTAGTAAAAGAGGTGGTAGTCATAAGATTTTAATTGGGGGCAATGCTGATCCTGGGAGGTGGCTAGGATGCGAATTTGGCGGGCAGCCGTGGGTTATTCTTGTTGCTTCTTCTGTTGTTGTTGCTCTGATAGATTTGAGGCCAAAGAGGATATGTGAAGCACCCAAAGTCTTGGCAAGGGTTAGATTGCCTGATTTTCTTGGGGTGATTTCTATGGAGGAGGAGAAGGATGCTTTCCAAGCATTTTGTATAGCAAGTTATAATGATTTTCACTTTGCTACAATGACTGAGAAGTTATTATTACTTTTTGATATCAGGCAACCATTAGTTCCTGTATTGACTTGGGATCATGGTCTAGAGCATCCCACATATATCTCTATGTTGAGGTTGTCAGAGTTAAGACCTTCTAAGGAGTTCAAATGTGCCATTGAATCAAGTTTTGTGATTTTGGTTGGTTCATTTTGGAAAAATGAGTTTAGGCTTTTTTGCTACGGGTCTAATGACAAAGGAGCTTTTGGAAGTTCATTTTTTGCACGGGAGCTTCCGTCGTCACTTTCGTTGTCAGGTAAACAATTGAGTTCTAGCGATGATCTTCTCAGAGAGATGATTTTGATGGAGAAACATCCTAATCAAGAGATTTTATTGAGAAATAATGGAGTTGCTGGTTTTTATATAGTGCCACCAAATGATCTCTTGAAATGCAGATCAGAAACTGATGGTTTTATTTTAGTTAGACTTATGTTATCAGGTAAATTAGAGATTCAGAAATATCATTCTGATTGTCGTTCACAAAATGAAATTACTATAGAGCAAGGAGTAGATTTTCAGGAAGTTGAAGATTTTACTATAGTCAACAATCATCAAGCCAGCATGGTGTCTAGCAAATTTCCTTTCTTAAAACTATGCTCTCTCTCAAACCATTTGAATCAAAGCCAATCCACTATGTTGACCAAGAGTTATTTGGAATTGAATGACAAAGGAGGTGGATACAAAATAAAACCAAATGATGAAAAATTCATGGAAAATCCTGAATTTTTTGATGTTGGTTCGGTGAAATTGGACTTTGAGCCATTAGATGTTTTGTTGCAGCCAAGTGAACAAAGTTTTCTTAAGTCATTAAATAGGCAAGCTTCCAAATGGTTGGAAAACAATAAGTCTTATCAATCTGTTATATTCACCTTGTCGATGCCTGATGATTCTGAGAGGTATTTAAAATCAAAGCTATTATATTACTTTTTTGCTTTTGAGTCTGGTACTCTTTAATCATATGAATGGCTGAAAGTAGTAACTTATGCCCAACAAAGTTGGGAATATCATACATTAGCAAATGATGTAAACCCTTTTTTTTTTTTACTGTTTTTTAACTTGACATCGATCTCTTCCTTTTCTGTTAATCCTTGACATGTACTTCATTGCTGAAATCACAGCTAGTTTCAGTGATCATCACTCACACAATTTAAACCTTCTCTGAAAGACGAATTGATCCTCAGAGGTATGAGTAAATTCAACTTTAAACATATAATTTCTTTTGATCTTATGATGTCAACATTTCTTATGTTGCTGCTTTAATTGCAGGGCCCTTCCATAGGAAGAATGGTTTGCTGATACAGCAATGGCTGCAATAAACAAGCTTTTGCTTGGAACCTTAGCTTCCAAGTGATCGGAAGTAGAGCATGATGAGCCTATGATTCTCCATGATGTATTTACAATATGGAGAAGATGCTTTCAACCCCGTCATCAACCATAGAACCGTCGAAGTCTTTTTCTTCTGCTAACATTGGGGAAACTGATATCCCAGTTTTCTGCTCTGATCCTGAGACCTGAGTTCTGGTAACAGAAGTCATTTGTTTTTCAATTTTATTTCAGTTTAAGGCTCAAGTAAATCTAGTGATTTCCTTTAAAATTGTCACACCATGGGTATGTCTGGCTGACAAGCTAATATCAGAAAAAGGTTTTACTGACTTGTACATTATTTCATCCAGGCATATAGTTTTGCAAATTTCAACTTTATTTTGTGAATAATATGACTAGTGTTATTGATATTTTTTAAACATAATATTTGCATGAATAAAACTTACTGCATTTAGTAGAGGTAAATGCAGGAAAAATAAATATGGCAATTATAAAAATTAATGCAATATATAGGAATCAGTGCAATAATAATTCAGATAAAGTTATGCATGCAATTTATTTTTTCCTTATAAACTAAATGGGAAATCTATATTATGTCTGCCATGTAGTAGAATTTCAATTACATGATTGAATTCTATAAATATCCGAGAACCTGATGCAAATAACAACGATAACGCTTTTAATGAGGAATGTTATGTTTATCCCTTAATAAATTATGGGTATAAAAACTCCAAGTTTAATTGAGATTTAACCTACAACATCCTGAAGACCCTATGCACTATAAACTTCTCGTTAATTATAAGCACATAAATAGGGATATTAAAATTAGTTATCAAATTTTGTTTATCCTAACTAATTTAGGCTACCTCACCATTGATCTAAATTAATCACTATTATGGCGATGGTTTAATCAATCAAATGGGCTTAATCATGGTTGCACCATTATATTATTAAACTCTTTAATAATACAAGTGCTAACTCAGATATTACAACTTAGTACACATAAGCTAAACCCAAATTCAATCCAGAAATATATACTATAATCAAAGGATAGGATGATGTGTCATAAATATTAAACTTGATCTTGTTTCATAATTTGAAGGTAGGTCCATGGTTAAGGAGAACATAACTTATCTACACTGAAATGAGGAGGACAACGACTTCAAATTAAGAATAAAGGAGTAAACACAATAAGATGTTTACAGAGATAAGAACCATAGCTTCCTATTATACTAAAATTGAGAGAGGAGAAAAAAATGATTAGCTAAGAGAAAGATAATACTTGCCGCCCTAGGTTAGAGGAGGAGTTGTAGTCAATGATTTTGATCAAGGTAAAGGAAGGAGTCAAGGCTGGTTCATCTGTTGGCGATTGTCGAAGAGTAACAGTGAAGGAAGGAGGGAGGTTGGCGGCTAGGGCTTTGTGAGAGTGAAGGATAAAGGCTCAACGGGTGAGGATTCAATGACTGGAGTGCGAGGCGACCTATAATGCCCCACCCTTTCTCAATAAGGTGGGAAGAGGCAACAAGGAGAAGCGGGAAACAGCGCGGACAGCTAGGGCAAATCGTGGGAAGGATTGTGTTATTTGCTCGTTTAGGGGAGGCAAAGGCTGTTTCGAGGGAAGCAATTGATGTCCATGTATTAAGAGGTTTGACCAGGTTGGATATCCCGTTTTCAACCATCATGATTCTTGTGATTCCTTTTAATGAGCTTCCTGTTGAAATGTGACCCCAGAAATTCATTATTGCTACTAAATGCAAGGAGAAAATGGCATATTCATCCCTTCAGTAAGCTCAAGCCGAGCTATATGGATGATGAGAGAAATCATCAATTCATTGGGATAAGAATTGAGAGTCATGGTTGATGCAAGTATTGATCGTTTGATGCTAAAAATTATGTTACATTCAGTATCCTTTGATCTAGAACTTGTCATTTTTCTTAACTATCTTCGCAGTTACTTGGAAAACATGTCTGCTGAATATTTGTATCCGTTATGTGATGATTAAGTTTATCTTGATAGAGTATGTTTTGTTAGCCAATTCTTACAAAGTAGTAATTGCAAAGAACATCAAAATTAAAGGCAAATTTGAGTAAGTAGCAGAAGAAAAAATGGGCATAAAGCAATCAATTATAGTAAAGAAGCAACTAAAAACTATATTGAAGACCTTAAGAAAAAAGTCTTCTAAGGCATGAACTCTTATAAGAAAGATATGAATAAGAAGATAATGAATATTCAATCTTTGATAATGCAAAAAAGTATCGAGTTATAGAACAAGATTATAACTTGAGTGACTTGGTGGAATCAGAGTTAGCCAAAAAATGAACTTGTAGATTATAACTTGAGTGACTTCCTTGGTGGAATCAGAGTTAGCCAAAAAATGAACTTGCTTAGGCATTGCACTAAGGAATCAGAGTTAGCCAAAAAATGAACTTGCTTAGGCATTGCACTTAGCGCAGATATGGAATGCTGGGCTGGAAGAAATACTGAAGAAATTGAAGCGAGATTAATTCTTGCACATCTCAAGTTTCAAAGTCTGCTAAGTTTATCAACCTTATTGAGTGTAAGGGTAAAATAGTAAATAAATTTCAAAAAGTCATTATTATCTGTTTAGAGGTGCTAATAGGCCAAAACATAGAGACTTATGCTTGATGCAATTTAAACTTCTTTTTTGTGCAACTCCTTAAGTAGGATGATCTTAAACCTTAAACATCAAGGCCTTTTGGTGTAACAATTAAAATTTCATCAAAAACTTCAAAGTTAAGCTTGCTTATATGGGAGTACTCTTGAGGTGGGTAACACCAATGGGACAAAATGGTGAGGTCATTCGGCGAAAGCGAACAATATTTTGTTGGGTATGACTTCGATATGTTACAACTCTTATCAGAGCATTGTACCAACCTGAAGATAAGAATTAAGTGTCGTACAAAATAAAGTTCTTCCGTTATGTGAGCCACCTCTTGAATCATAAATGACATAAAGTGCTAAATGGTGGAGGCCACTTTTTGAATTTGTAGGGATCGCACCGAGAATCTATTTACCTAATGTGTGATTATGGGTTAAGATTACTAATGAGGATTTTGGTTAATCAAGTGTAGGAGATTTTGAAACCTCTTAAAAACAATGAAGTTAAACTTTTAAACATCGACACTCCTTTTGGTGTAATGGTTGAAATTTTATTAGAAACTCCAAAAGTTAAGCGTTCTCACATGGGAGCACTCTTAGGATGAGTGATTTCTTGAGAAGTTATATTGATGTGAGAAAGCTGTGAGGCCATCAGACCAAATTGGACAATTGCTCGATGGGTGGGAGATAGGATTATTACAATTAGATTGATGATAGACATTTAAATCACGAGAAAGACAGAAAATACTGATGTTGGAGATGGTGGGCATTAGTCTCTTAGTGATGTAGATAGTTGACCCTCATCCATGCATGACGTTTGATTTATATTTTGTATTTATGTTTTGATAATTAGGACAATCACATATTTTGTATTTTATAATTGATTTTTTTTTTAAGTGAAATGAAAGTATTGTTTAGTAATTGAATGAGTTTTGATTATGTATTCCTCTGATTTCAATTACCTCCAAAAATCCCAAGATTTTGAATAAATCACAAATGTAAGCAAGAGTGGGCAAGACTTGTACTTTTTTTTTCCTTTGTTTTATTTGGGTTAAGTTGTCGTCTTCAACGGGCCTCACCTTACATTAGAGCTATTGTCTTTGTTGGGATAATAAATTAAACTAACTATTTAGAATGGATTCACATATTACTTAGTATGGATCTTGTCACAAAAGTGAGAAGTTGAATATTCGGGCTAGACTTTTTATTCCTAGACATCTTTCAGATTTTGATGAGTTGTTTGAACCACTAACTAATGAGATAAAATTGTGCTATTGGATTTTTTGGAGAATCAATTTTAGTTCAATCAAATATTGACGGTCTCGATAAAATGAAACACGTATAATTTATGAGTAATATTTTTATTGATAAAAAAATTTTGTGAGCTCATAAGAAATGATATAAAATATCTTAAGAGATGTCAAATTACTTAACTTTTATCTATCAAGTTTTCTGTGTTTCAAAATAGTCAGTCAGTTCTAAAAGTTAATTGGTCGAGTTCATAGAATTTCAGAAAATAAAATGGTGAGTTCTTAGAAAATGCTGAATTTAGTTGTGTGAGTTTCTTGAGTTTCAAAAATAATCGTCTAGTTCTAAATTCAATAAAGCAAGTTTGTAGGTTTCAAAATAAACTATGATTATTGAATTCAATCTTGCTGAGTTCCTTGAGGGTCTGTTTGGGGCAGCTGTTGATTATTTATCATTACCTGTGTTCTCCATCACCCTCTAATGACCGAAGTCATGCCAAGAGTTCGGAAGGCGGTACACCAAAACAACGCAATACATGCTGAAATTCAATGAAACAATTTTGAAATTTTAGAGAAAAGCCTAAATGCAAAAAAAAAAAAAAAAAAAAGGAAATTTAATCCATAATGATAATAAATAAAAACAAAAACTAATTAGTCAAAATTGGAAGGGTAACACTGAACATGCAGTATGAATAACAAATAAAAACAATTACTACGTGCATGTATAACATTTTGAGGCAACAAAGATAGAGCTAATCATAAAATATGCAAAACATAATAAAACATACAATCATTTTCCATCAAGTTTCTCATTATTCGACTTTTTATTTATTATTTTTATATAGTTGATTTTAATAGATATCTTAAAACCGGGAAGGTTAATACCAGCCCAAGAAAACCCGACGATTTCATATAGAGTCGTCACTCCGTGTGTCTGTTTCTCTTCTGGTTTGCCTTAACTCCAAGATTCAACAAAATCTCATTGGGAGATGGATTTATGGGATTTGGAGAAATTGAAGTACGAGGGAAAGTCGATTGTTACCATCCTCAATGATCTCGAGTAGAAGCGCACGGAAGGGGAGGAAGGCACGTAATCCTATTATTGCCTTCGTTGCTAGCTCCAAGAGCAGATGTATCGCAAGGGTGGTTTTCAGGCATGGGAGAATTAGGGAGCAAGAAAGGGTAAATTTTCGGTGCTTACAAGTGCATATAGGGGTTATTTTGTTGCAAGTAGGATTTGATTTAAATAGGATTTAGTAAATCTTATAAATTTGAATTTATCAATTCATGAAGTGGTTAAATCATAAAAAAAACTATTTGATATGTTGTAAAAAAATCCTGATAAATTCTAAGAAACTGTATTACAACTTTAAAAATATATTTAATAAAATGTATCAGGATTTATTGAACGGGTATCCAAAACCTTAAAATGTATAAACAATGGTGCATTTATATTAATACTTAGTTAAAAAATTAATAATTTTTTTTAAACTAGTTATCAATCAATAAATTAACATCAATCAATTACTAATTATATAAATTAAAAATTATTTAGAATTTTATTAAATATTTTAAAATTAAAATATATTATTTATTTATTAACATTAAATAATTGAATATAAACTTATCTAATTATAATTAATTTGATAATATATAAAATATTTATTATTATTATTATTATTACTATTACTATTTTTTTTAAATAAATTACTTAACTTTTATCTATCAAGTTTTCTGTGTTTCAAAATAGTCAGTCAGTTCTAAAAGTCAACTGGTCGAGTTCCTAGAATTTCAGAAAATAAAATGGTGAGTTCTTAGAAAATGCTGAATTTAGTTGTGTGAGTTTCTTGAGTTTCAAAAATAATCGTCTAGTTCTAAATTCAATAAAGCAAGTTTGTAGGTTTCAAAATAAACTATGATTATTGAATTCAATCTTGCTGAGTTCCTTGAGGGTCTGTTTGGGGCAGCTGTTGATTATTTATAATCTGCTGATAAACAACTTATTTTGATAATCTGCATATTATCATAATAATCTGGTTTGCTGTTTGGGGCAGCTTATTCAAAACAACTTACTTTGACTTGCTGTTTGGGACAACTTATTCAAAACAACTTATTGGGAGCTGTAGTTGGATAAATGCCCATTCTACCCCTGAATTTGTTAAATTGTTTGCAACAAAGCTGTATGGGAAAAATAATACAAACAACAGAAGTCTCAAACACAGGATTGTTGTTGTAGCAGGAACAGGAAGGCCGCAACAATATCCCAACAGCAAAGGCAGGAAAATAAGCAATAGGGGTGGTAACAATAGTCAGCCAACTAACAAGACGTGTGATGTGAAACATTGAAAATAGAATTAAACCAAGGTGGTGGTAGTAGCCAACGGGCTAGCAGAGAAGGTCATCCTGAAGGAGCAATGCAACATAAAAATAACAATTTTTGTAATAGCATGGATTAAAGAGCTGTGGAACCTTTTCCCTGCATGGATTTTTAAGGGAATAGA